CTTGCTCTCTTCCTGGGTCATTTTGACCCGGAAACCTTGGTAGAAGTGTCATTGTGACCCGGAAAAGTGTCCTTTTGGGCCTGAAAACTATCAGGTCAAATACGATACTGGTTTCCGGGTAAAATTTGACCTGGGATTGTAAAAGTGTATACTTCGAGAGAAAAAAAATATGATATTTTAGGACTCCGGAAAAGGATGTGACCGCAATACTGGAATCAAGGAATGCGACGTGTTGATATAGAAGCATAATGACTGGGAGATGAGGGCATAATGGCAACGATGTTACGTCCCAAACTTTCCAAGAATGCTTCCCTGACAAACAAACGCTTGATATTACATACACTAACGACTGCATCAATAAATAGGCCGAGCAGATGAAAGGGGGAAGCGAACAAAATAAACGGAGCTTATGAGTATTCGAGTGAGCGACTACACCAGCTGATGAAAACCTAAATCATCAACTGATGATAACATCCCTCGATGGTCAAATTAAAAGTCCTACCTTGCTTAATGATTCAAAGGAATTCCACACCTTTCCCCATGTGTGTGTGAAGCCGGAGGTTATCACCGTCGGCATTTGAAACGCTAGCGCCGTTAGTCAAAGAAGTCGCCCCGAACGACCTCTCGCATCATTCCCGTGAAAGGTCGGGAGCGGGCATAGCGGGCGACTAATGTTCGTCATCTCAAACGTAATGACCGATTCGGTGACAAATTAATACTATCCCCCACCGCACCATAAAGGGAAAAAAATATGTCTAGGAATGAAACATAAGCCGCAGACCTCAGTGCAATACATGGGAGATTAATAACTCGCCGTAGCGGCCATTCCTTAGCGTCAGGATCGGGTATTTCTTGCCATATGTCAACCAGATCCTGTTTCTTGAGTCGACGCAACACATTGATTGAATCACAAAAGTTTCATGAAAATTTTTTTTTCAGGACATAAAAAGTGGTAAATAACAATTGTCTACCAAATGTGTATAGGGTTACCAAAGAAATACATGTATAACTCTAAGGTCATGGACGTCAATCGGTGGGGGACGGGGGGACATGTTCCCCCCCCCCATCTCGTTAAAGTGTGTGTGGGGGATATCATATCGTCTGCCCCCCCCCCACTTTTTCGTCTCTGAATAAAACTTGTAGCATATTGATTCCATGAGCACAAAAAAAAGCTGATTTAATGACTCCAAACTCGAAAATGATGCTTAAATGATGATCTTTTGCTCAAAAGAAATTCATTAAAGTGGTCAAAAATTGCCTCAGATCGCACTGCAGAGCATGTAGAATCCAAAAATCCTTAACCGGGCCCCGAACCCAACGCCGTAAGGGCTTCACGCTTCGTGCTCGCATTAGTTCTGATCAAGGTATGCCCCCCCCCACACACACATTTGCGAAGCAATTGACGCCCGTGTGACCCTCATATAAAGCCTTCCCTTGGCCCAAAAGTGTTACCTTGCTGGTCACAGAGGGCCAACCAACGGTCCTCTGTGTACCCCTCTTACTGACTGACGGACAGACGGACTACTGACTGACTGACTGACTGACCGACTATCACTTGTGTATTAGACTTGCATAATTCTCACCTTTTCGCCCCAAATTTGACTCGGATGATACCTTGGAAGTTAGAGCCCTTTACTAGACTTGCCAATTTTGCTTTTCAAAAGTGGGCAGTTGTCCATACCTCTAGAAGTTCTAATTCAAAATTGTAAAGTCTAAACACAACTTTTATGGGGATGACACCTAACTAAACCGTGTTCTGGGACATCTGTCTTGCGGTTAGGATAGGAGGGACACTTGAACATGAACACACCAAAACAATTACATCCGACAGCACATTTGCAGCCACTACGATTGGTTTACTCGTTGTTACCAACGTATATATTATCAACCAAGAGGACTGTAATTCACTCAACAAAAGCCATGTTCTGCAAATGCTTAGTCCCCGCAATGGCGCTATGTTTACAACAAACAGAAAGGCATCTGTTGACAACTGGAGAAACTCCGTGCTTTAGTTTTGTCTCTATACATTAAAATGCCACGGTCGCGATGGAAAATAACTGCAGATTCAACCGCGCACATTTTGGTGCTGAAATAGCTGTAACATTGAGGTTTCTGCCTGAAATGACATCACACTTTTGCTCATGAATATGGAAATTTGCATGGAGCGTAAAAACCAAAAAGGCACCAAAATACCCTTGAAAATGGCAAACTGAAAATTGAAATAAGGTTAAATGGGATACAAAGTTGTATTTTCAGAGATTGCATTAAAAAGACATTATATTGCATGGCCCCTTTAAAAAAGTCTTGATTATCATTCCCGTGAAGGTAACAAATACTTGCCCGAAGCCACAAAACATTTGAAGATGAAAAGAAAACACGGCCAACTGCTAGACGTGGTCCTCTAGTGACTCTGAATTGAAAAAGTGTCCCCCGTGGTTTCTCCGGGTGATAATTCGATTAGGGCAAGAATCGAGTTGGATAATTATCGCCCGCAGAACCTTGATTGCTCAACTTGTAATTCGCGGCACGTACTTCAAATAACGGTCCCGGTCTTCTTTTTTTTGCGCATGCAAAAATGAGGAATTATTCAAAGCTCCATTTTTTGGGTTTTGGAAAGTTTAAAAGGTGAGACGATTTACATCTTTGTGTGTAGAGCTCGGTAGAAAACAATTAAACCTGCGATTCATCTCACCAGCCAATGCAAACAACGATTCCTTAAATGGCCGTCGGCCATTTAGTACGCATTGCCTCTCTGTTGATTTTGACTGTGGCGGCCAACATTTTCACAAGGACGGAATAAAAGGCCTTTGCTTCTGTGTTTGTTTCTCTTAAACTAAGGGGCATTACGGCGTATGTTTTGGATTTTATCCTATTTCAAAGCTCTAGTTGAAAGGAAATAATTAAACTAATGTCTTAACGAGAACAGACGAAAAAAGCCGGTTATTTACATTGGACGCGGCGGACATTTTGTGGCATAAGCATACGTATTTCCAGCCGTGTCTATTCAATGTACGGTACGCGTTGTGTGTGTCACACAACGGGTACCGTACACGTTGATCTGATACACCCTCCGTAGACATGAACACAATAGGGAACAAAAGATTGTATACGTCTCCACAGGGCAATTTCTATAGATGAATACGTCTCCACAAGGTTTCACAAAAAAACATATATGGATTTTACTCAAAAACTTGGAATTTCCAAGGTGGGTTAATGCGTCGTAAATGGAAGAGTTTTAGAAAAGGGATATTAAATCCGAATTTCAGCCAAGGAAATTAATTCTGGTTAAAATAAGAGCATTTAGAAAGTACACTTTCAAACTCGAAAACTTTACTACACGAGATTAAAGAAATGTCTCCACGAGAATACAAATTTCAGTACGTGTGTGTGTATGTGTACACACAGCACCAATACACAAATGTTGTTTCTGGAACGTCCGCAGAATGCGATCCACTGGTGGAACATGTGCGGCAGGATTCACAACTAGCACTCAACAGCTCGACTTTAGAGAGTCACAATTTTGACCCCCGAAATTCGTTCTTGCATGGTTCTCCCGCAAGAATTACACAAAAACGCCAATTTTTTTAAAGGATGGTTGTGTTTCTCCTCATTTAAAATGCTCTTTCCAATTATTATAATTTTTTTAAACGCGTTTTGTAGCCGAATCGCGCGCATTCCAGGACGTTATGCTCCTTTAATCTTTTAATATTATCGCCTGAATACTTTTCAATGCAACGTCTTCCTTTTTTTCCATTCACCCCCCCCCCAACTCCTATCATCAATGCAACCGGTGTAAACGTAAAGACGAACGACCTCACATTCGCTTCTTGCTGCTCGATCGAGTGCGCAGTCATTGTAACGACACCAACGGATCGTGCCCTCCAAAAATATTCCGGCTCATTAGTCCGTGGCAGCAACGCCGATTGCCCGTGACAAGGCCAAAACGTGGATGACAAGACGGATCCAACTGATCCGTAATAAGGAGAAAACCCCAACGACGCTTTAATTGATTCCTCTTTCATTCCTTCTTCTGTCTCTCGAGAGTAATCTTTCGCGCGCAAATTATTCGCGGCTGGCTTGCGTCTATTGCACGCATTCCTCGAACCGCTCCAGTGTATTAATAATTGCGCAAGTGTTAAACATTGATCTTGTTAAATTGCAATATAGATTTGATTACCTGTGCGACGAGATTCATGTGTGAGTGTGTGTGTGGCTAGCTCTATGGTTTGACAGGTTTGTCTGGATGCTGGCGACATTTTGACCTCGATGACAGCTGTGAGCAAACGGTAGAGGGCGCTTTGCGTGCCCGTCGCTGATTGGACGATCATCCCGTCCAGTGATCATATTATGGGCGGTTTTATTGCGGGGAAGAGCACGCGGTCAAAACACACACATTTTCGCGCGCGCGGGACCCGTGTCACTTCAAGGCGGTGAAACGTCTGCGGTGACTTGTGAGTAAGTCGGATACCAAGGCGATTGTTCACCATACGGCCTGTCGCTTTCAGTGTATTACTTGGCTCACGCGGGATTGGTAGTCGGTGACAGTAGTCCTCAATTGGTTTGCTTCTTTAATCGGTGCGTCTTTGACGGAGTTTCGAAGTGGAAATTCGTCTTAGTAAGTGAGTTTATCTAAAACACTGATTTTTGATGTAGACCCATAAGAAATTGCTACTGCTGCATTAGAGACGCGCATCACATTGTCATTTGTTATTTTATACCCGAGTACTATTTTATGTGTGTATTGACAGGAAGAAAGACAGGATGTTTGATATTGCTGCTATCGAACCTTGAAGCACAACAGACAACAATGCGACCGTGTGAGGTTTAAGCTGCTGCGTACACCTCGATAAAAACACCTACGAAGGTGGTGGTTTGTGGAATCTTCTGGCGAAACTATACTGTGGATAGTTAGGAATCAACCTTTATAAACAAACAGCACCTATAAAGGTGGTAGTTTGTGTGGTCTTCAAGTGAAACTATACTGTGGACAGTTAGGAACCATGGGTCCTGCAGACGACGACGTGGGCAACTGGACCTCGGACCTGAGCTATTGGAACGGCACTTGGGACTACTCGTGGCCGTACGACGGCGTCATGGACTGCTACGACGTGGACAAAATCCAGGTGCACCCCGCACTCAAGGTCTTCCTGACTGTCACCTTCGCTCTGACCATCGTGGTCTCGGGGCTGGGAGACAGCCTCCTGGTGTTCATCATCTTATTCCACAAGAGGCTGCGGACTGTCACCAACTTGATGATCGCCAACTTGGCCGTCTCGGACGCCCTGACGGCCTTGCTCAGCGCGCCCTTCACGCTGCACTATTACGTGACCGATAACTGGGCCTTCGGCGGCGTCATGTGCCCCCTGGTCGGCACCATCAAGAACGTGTCTCTCTACGTCTCCGTCAACACGCTCCTCGTCATAGCCGTTGACAGGTAAGAAGTTAAACTTGCACCTCCTTATTAAGATCGTTTCACACGGCGGTTTCTCATGGGACCCTTGTGAAAATCTTCAGCTGGAAGATGTTGTTTTAGGGCCTGACTTCCGGAATTTTCCACCGACTGAGATAAAGCAATTGGTGCCCTTTCACCCGTTGGTATTTTTGTCAAAATTATCAGGCATGAGAATAAATTTCTCGAGCCTTGTGAGTGTTGTCGGCGCAAAGGCCCCATTATGCTTTGAAAACAAATATGGCGGTAATGATGAGCTGCTCATTAACTTCATGGCCGCTTTTATTTAGTGCCACATTTATTCTTAATCCCTTCGACCTTTCGAGCGAGCGAGGCCAGTTTCGCCAGCTGTGGTCACGTATGGGGGCAGAGTGATTTTATTGCACCAACCTTGAGGTGGGAAATGATGCATTTCTGAGATGGAAGACGAAAGAACGGGTGGTTGATGTGCAAAGTACATGTACTTTGAAATGTATTGTGATACAAAATGTGCATCCTATGCAGGGGAAGCGGTTACAGCTGAATGTCTTGCTCATCTTCACAATACTAGTATGCCGAATTTTTAGTATTTGTTTTCCTCAACATATTAGTTTGTCCTGTTGTTTTACGTTGGAAACATCATCATTGTAGACCTTTTCGACCCCGTTGTACGTTTTGTACGACCGTGAAAATTTTGAAAACTTTGGATGGCTCCATTTGTAAAATGTTTGTACATGTATTTATAATGAAGATGCGAAGGGCGGTGCAAAAAGAAGGAAACCCACTTTTGACAGCAATTTTCACCTACTTGTTGAGCATATTTCAAAAATTCAATTTAATGGTATTACAATATTGATCTTTAAACCTAAGTGACAAAAAAAAATGATTGCAAATGCATATGTCTCTGAGATATGGTACATGTAGTTTAAAATCTTCATGTGCCAAACCTGTTTGTCCACGGACGGCTTTATTCCATCCGCTTGACTGAGCTCCGGAGCTTGATTTGAAGACAAAAAACACTACACAAGACTTACACGTGGACAACGGTGATTTTGGTGACTGGTATTCAATAAGCATAATAACACTCTGGCGATTTTTTAAAATATATTTTTTTTCTCCACGTATGGTTGAAGAGCTATACTTCACTACATTGTGTAATGTAAATGGGGTCTTGCGTAGTGCGGGAAAGTACCTGCTGCTCAAAGGGCCCCCGTTGACGAGTTGTTGTATAGTTTTTTGTAAACGCTGCGCAGGGATAAAACAATCAAACAAGTTAAGTAAGTTGGTTAAAATTCCTGTCAAAAGCGGGTTTCCTTCTTTTGGCACTACCTAGGATGGACTTCTGCGAAGGCTATGAGAGTATTCGATCCATTAACTGAAATCAACTGAAAGCCTCGTACAGTTGTTTGGGGCAAAGGCCGAATCGTGTCGGATCACAATGAAACTGATAGCATGACTTTGAGATACGTATTCATGCTTTTGTCGAACCACTTAGGTGAATTATTAGTGGTTAAAGGGAAATTGTGGAAATTGATGAAAGATAAGCCAGTTTAAGATAGGGGTACTTCAAAAACAGTTGGTGTAAGACCAAATTCTAGTATACACACCTCACTCCCCCAACAGGTGTTGCCAATTAAAAAAGGTCACACGTCACGCCTTACCAATTACGACTGTGGCCTTACACGGTGCTCCACCATATATTGGAGGTTGGATCGAGGGGGGGGGGGGGTAAACAGGCATTAATGTGCTGTGTTTTTTCCGCACGATTTTTTCTTATTTGTTTATTTTTTGCGGCACAAAGTGGGTGTAGACTCCCTAACCGCGGTTGATCGGATGCATACTGACCACTACGTCAGCATACCTGTACTTAAAATGTATACGAAATGACCACGAAATGCGCACGTACAGCCAGTGGCGTTACCGGGCCTCCAATCTGCGGGCGGGGGGGGGGGGGGGGGGGGGTGACACTAACTTAGCGGGGCCTCATTTTCTGGAAGGATGCACTTGACGCGTTTTTCGAAAAGCTCATTTTTGCCTTCCCCAAATCCTGAGTGTGTGTGTGCGTGTGCATACACCGGCAATCGTAGACGTTGGACAAAAGAGTGTGGGCGCAAACAATTATACGTCCACGATTGACCGAACGTCCAAGCTCTCAAATCGTGTACAAAACCAATGAGAGCTGTCGCTAAAAAGTTAAGTACAAACAAAGGAAAGAGGATTAGGGACAAAGGGGCATCCACGATTGCCGGCATTTACACATGTGTGTTTGTCTTACATACGCAGTGTGGACTTCCGAACAAAAGACGTCCACATAATGTAGGTAGCACCGACGTTGTGTGGACTTGCCCACGTCCACACAGTGTTTCCCCATTTCTGGAAAACAGGTTTAGAGGCATTTTTGGGTTAGGTTTATCTGTAGCAGAATGAAGAGAAACACTAAAGGGAATCATAGAAAAAAAATTGGGTTGAAAGAGTTTTCACAGTTTGAGAAAAATGAGTTTTTTCACTGGTTTTTCTTAACTACACGAAAGCAATGGAAAGTCCACACTAGTCATGTGAAACAAGTATGTGTGGGTGTGTGGGTGTGTGTGTGTGTGTGGGGGGGGGGGGGGCATACCGGGAACAATTATCTACGTGCCCAATGCGCCCCTATAGTTACACCACTGCTTGTAGACATGACAGCGGCATTTTTAAGCAAAGATCAATCAGCCATTGTAACCAGAACGTCAGAAGTTAATATCTCCACAAGTGGTCCAGAGTTAATCAAACTCATTCCCCTTCCCCTACAAAAGGAAAATTAATTTCTCCGCCGCATAAGCAATAAATGTAGCTTTAATAGAAGGCTCTCCGCAGGGGAAACGAACGTCCATCAAAGGTATTTATCCAGAAAGAGCTCTTGGACATCTCTCGAGTCACGGGCAATAAATGTTCCGGCTTTTGCTGATCAAAGAACGCTACATCCGAAGTACATGTTCTCTGACGTACTGTATCAAATTAATTATCAGCATGAATGATATTAGTATAGCTAGCGCAGATCATAGGCCCGATTCCTGAGAGATTATAGACCGTTCTACTCTTTGTTTGTCAAACTGCATTTTTGCCAACCAAACTGCATGGAAGGTCCAACACTGCAAAAATGAAGAAGAGTTATTACAGATAACCAAAATATTATTTGATTGTTGGAAATACAACATTGTCAACAAAGGTACAACATAATTCCTCAACATGCTTTTTCACTTTGTATTGACTTTGTTATGGGGACTTTTTGGAAAAAAGTTGTTGTTAACTACGGCTTCAATTTATTCGCTAGCGGCAGCCCATATAAAATGGCGCCAATGTTTACAAACAAAAGAAAGGTCTATAAGAATGCAGTAAAGGTGTGTGCCGCAATGCATCTTGGGACAGTTTGCGATATACGCATGGGAATTTCGTGCATCGCAAACTGTCCAGCAAACTGTCCCCGCACAGTCATAATACTCATTTGCATAAGTGTGTTATAATGGCCCAATCGTATGACGTCAAGGTACCACGTGACCATCCGGTTTCCCGTGATTGGCAACCATTGCAGTTGGCAAGCTTTAGGAAACGTTTGGCGTTAACAATCACGTCGTGCGTTGTTAACAAGATAGTAAAGGACTACTATGCCATGAACGGTCGTCATAATCGGGCTGACCGTGCCCAACACTGAATGTTGGCTCCACGTTTTTCTAGTAGTTTTTGCCTTCGATCAAAGCTTCGAGTGCTTTCCTAGGCCTACTACCTATACATGTATTGCGCGCGGCGTTATACGAGTTTTGCCTACTATACAATGGCGACGCTCAATTTCAGATACCCGGCAGTAGGCCGGGTCTCGTGTGTCACAGAGAGAGTGACCTATTAGTCCAGGTATCATACGTAATTTCTCCCATTTCTCACGAGTGCAGTCATGGTAAAATAGAAATAAGCTGGAGAGTGCAAACCTCCGACAAGACTAAACAATTCCCCGCCATATTGCCAGTACACCCAAAACAAATACTCGCATAAAATGGTGAAGAATCCTTAAAAAAAATCCTGGATCCAGACCCAGACCCAGATCACTTCCAAAATCTCATCGAGTTGAACTTGTACTAAGGACCACCCCTAAAAACATTTTCATGTAAATCTGTCCATTCCTTTTTGAGTTGTCCTGTTAACAGACCGAAAAAGCAACCAACCAACCAACCAACAAACTAATCAAATCCGATGAAAACACAACCTCCTTGGCGGATCTAATAACCTGACAGCATGTTTCGTTACTCCAAATTAACACAGATTTTGTATTGACTGCATGAGCAAAAAAAAATGCTGCTGAATGTCATGCCCATGGACACAAGACTATAATTTCCGGACTATATAGATTCGCATCCTACCTCTTGCAGATGTACAAGATTCCCACAACCGCCACGACCGTTTTTCCTTCGGCTCAGCCTTTCGCCGTCGAGTCATAGAGGCGGCATTGTTGGAATTTAACCCGAAGTATTAAATTTAGTTATTTGCTTTTGGATATCGTCGTTTACATCTGAAGGTACCGTGACCTGTACACAGCCCCAATTTCAGATCGAAATGGAAGACGGAATCAATCTTTTAGGATTTATCTCAATCACCTATGCACTTTAAAGTGGCAAACTCCCCATTGACTTTACAGGTCGAATGAACGTTTTAGCCAATAATGAAACCAAATCCAGCTGTGTTATTTTGTTCACCATTACTGTTTCATGACGTTCAAGACGTTTGTGTAGCGGTGTTGTATTCCACTGTTAGGTGCAATGTCTCAGTATTTTTGCAAGTTTATAACGAAAAAAACGAAAAATTCAGCAGTGGAATTCGAAAATTTGATTAATAAGGTACGGACCTTAAGATGCTTATATAATTTTTATAAATACCAGAGGCTACCTATTCCTATTGGTCGAGAGCCCGTCACGTATGTGGTTTTAAACCGCTGTATACCCACCTCCGTGCGAAGGTGTTTTAAATCGGCCAGTCATGAA